CTGCTGAAAAACTCAGTTTCCTAACAGCAACTTGACTGCCTTCATTTCTTTGCCATGGTCTCAGCTCCATCAGTAACTTATTTTTCATCCCCATGCACGTGTGTTGCTAAGTGAATCAATATTTGTGAGCGATGGAAAGTCTTTGCAGTTTTATTTTCTGCACATTTTCATTTCATTGCAAAGGAACTGTTCAGATGCATAATTGGAAGCAAATTCAACTGAAAAGCAAGAGTGGAAATTGCTGCCAGATAAGCGTTGTTTAAAACACTGCTGATCATGAAACAGATTTTTCAGTCTAGGAGAAATACACTGTCCGATAGGAACACGCTTGGTCAGACAGGAGCAGTCTCTTGTGTCTTACCAGTTGTGTCACAACTCCTAACAGCTGCTTTTGGCTTCCTCAGCCATTTCCAGGCTTAGGCGCTGGGTCTCAAAAAGAAGAGGGAAGACAAAGAAGGATCTCGCTAGTGAGGAAGGATCACATCTTTGAGTCCTTCTTGTTTATTCAAATTTCATGAAAGTTTACCTGAGTAAGGACATAGGATTTTTGTCATGGCTTTTACAGCGTTAGTTATGTTTCACTCACAAATCATAGTAAGAGTATGAAAATGTGTTGTGGACTATTTTGCATCCGTCTGTAGCTACCTGAAATACCACCAGGCTCCCCTGCTCTGCTAGATGCTGTGTTTGCCATGCAAATACGAAGAGCAAATAACATGGGAAGCGAACTGGTTTCACAGCTTTTGGATCCCAGTTAGTGGAAGTCGATACGAGATCATTATGTTAAAGGTGGGGGGTTTTGCTGTGCCAGAGCAGTTTTATTGTGAGCTGACTTTGTGTTGCTGCCTGTGCTTGACTGAACTTGACTGAAAAAACAACGGTTATCTTCTACCTAATGATCCTGCTAATCATTCGGGTCTAAATTATAAATTAGAAACAGTTGTTTTTAACCAAGTGGTGTGCATTGCTGTGAAAATTTTCGTAGATGTGGTTAACGATGTCACAGAGGTGTAACTTCTGTTAGGAGAATTTTTAATAAAATTCTTTGTTCTCAAGATTTCAGATGCCCTTTCCTTACGCAGCTTCCAGAAAGCAGTAATGCACTTAAAAGTAATTAATTCATGCTATCTTAGTTATAAATTTATAAGTTTCCAATAGATTAGGAAAGCTGCTTTTCTGACATCTGATTACATCTTTTAAATTCAAATATGGAACCGTTTTGCAAGTAAAGGGGTACCAGGGCGGCTTCACGTTGGTTCGCAGTCCCACAAACCTTCCCCACCCCTCCCTGCCAGGGGGAGATGTGAGCTCATTTTGTTCAGTTAAAGACATGGTGATACTGTGGAGCTTGCAACTGCTCCAACACTACGCGATGGGTCAAAGGAACAATAAAGTTCATAGAATGCTTTTAATGACAGCACTGTTTAATGACAGCAAGGTCCTGAGCAGAAAATCAGGCAGGAGCTTACACTGTATGGAAGAGATACTGTCTTCAGTGGGGGTACTTCTGGTTTACACTCTTGTTACACTCTTGGAACGTGGGCTATATTAATTTTAGGTATTGGCTTTTTATTAGCAGTCAGAGTAAAAGAATAGGAGGGGTGCAGAACATTTAAAAGACCTCTTGAGTATCCCAAAATCATCTCAGCTAAAAAAAGACTTTGCCAAGAAGTTACCATGTGTGAAAATCTGTGTGGCACCTTTCTGTAAATCTGGGGGGTAGGGAGAGGAGAAGTAAACACACATCTCAAAGGCATTGATTCCGCTTCAAGGGTACAGCTGCGCAGCGCAGGGCATGGACCTCCCCGCGCACCAGCTTCAGTCCCCCGGCCATCGCGATGCTGCTCCGCAGAACGGCCCTCTGCTGTGTAGATGCTCTGTAAGAGAGTCTGGCCTCTCATTCACTACGGTGTTAGTTCATGGTATCCAGTGGTTTGAGGTCTTACTATGAGCTTTTGTCACTTTTAATAGAGTTGGTAACACAGTGGTACACAAGTTCCTATTTCCACAATGTTCAGTATCTGATGTTGAAGATTTACAACTCTCAGTGTGTAAAATACATCTAAGCATTTAAGAAAAACATTCATGGGTGCTAAGGCAAAACGTGCCTGGTTTTTTTTTCTAGTAAAATGTGAAGAAGTAATTTCCTCTTTTCTCTTGTTGTCTTGTGCTTCATTTCGGTGTCGGCACATCTGTTACTGTCAGCAGTTACTTAAGAGCTACCCCTTTGCATACATTTTCTCTTGCAAAGTTTAATGCAATACATTCAGTAGGGCTCTGAACAGCGCTTGGGTCATTCAGCTCTTCAGTTAATTATGCTTTTAACAACTTCAGAGTTATAAAGGGTATTTTAAAATCCTATTTAAAGGCCTTTTCTTCTGTCTTTGATGTTCACTTGTAACTACACTGAAGAGTCCAAAAATCAAACATTTGAACATTTGCTGAGAAACACAAAACTGCAGCCTGGCTGGCTCTGACTGCAAACGGGCGCTGCGGTACTCTGACGGAGCGGCTGCTGACAAGGCATCCTGCAGCACTTCTGTGTACAAATGCTTTATCTGTTTCTGAATGATGTTCTGTTTTGCTCCTGTGTGTTTACACAGCTCTCCTCAGTGCTATCTTCTTGTGGGCTCGCTGGAAGAGTCACAAAGGTCTGAATGGAGGAGTTTACCACGTATCTGCGCATCATGAGGATTTAGAGGACATCAGAGAAAATATCCTCAACTATAACGAAGAAGGTGGTGGGGAACAAGACCAAGTAAGGATCATGGTGTTACGTTACACTGAAGAGAGGCCTGGTGGCTCACCATGCTAATGAAAATATATTTTGTGTGTTTCCTTTATGACTGAGGGCCTTAGCCTTTGTTCTGCTGATTCATTACTGCGAGTGGTAGATGGATTATTTGTGAGGTTATGTACACAAGGGTGCACGTTTCTTAAGCAGAGCTAAGTGCCTATCAATTTTTAATTTGTCTTAAAGGAAGTGATCCTATGTGCGCATTTAAAAATGCTTGTAGAGTCAGCTGAGCAGAAAAGAGCCAACAGCTGATGGCTTTGGTTTTGTGGCTCGGGAGCTGCTGAAGTTCTCGGTGGCAATTGCTGCTGTAGCACCGAGGGCTGGGAAGAGCCCAACGTGAACCGTCCTCTTTCTGGAGACTGTTCATAACAGCGGTCACTCAGACTCAACTTGTAAGAAACTGAGGTGCTACATTTGTTCCTCTTAAGCCCTGAAGCACGTGGTAGCTGTGCAAGAACCTTTCTGCATTTTTCTATTCTGGAGAGAAATACGCTAATGAACAGAAGCTGAGTTTTTACTTACAGTAGACCAGATTAAACCCCAAACAGGTAATGCTAATGTTTCTGCCCACTGTTCTAAGGATTTCTACATCTCAGTTTAAGCCAGAGCTTTGAAACAAAACTGCGGATATTATAGACGAGTAATTTAAGTAGTTTATTTCCTGACCAACAGACGTTTGCTGTTTAAAAAAGGTAAGGAACCTCGTTGCTATCTTTGAAACCGTTTCCTGGATTCGGAAGGTGGTGTGACTCTGCAGAGGTAATGGTAGTTGGGGCACTGATGTGGTGGGTCAGAAAAAGCCAGTGATTTAAGAAAGAAATTAAATGTGACCTGTCCCAAAATTCTAAATATCTTCAAGAATTTTATAGAGTGTTTTACAAGGCCACCTGAAAAAATACTCTTACTTGTAGAGTATCCTTAATTTCTTGATGAATTAGTGTGAGCATAATAAATACAGGGATGTTTCCCATGTGATAACGTAGCTATTGGCGTAAATCCTGTTTTCTGTAATAAGATTAACTTCTTCTGCTGTACTTTGCAATTTTACACCCAGGTGGTCTACAGATTGAGGACATCCACAGCTCCCCTATGACATGTTTAATTACTTTTGGGGAGTTCTTAAAATACACTCCTTACCTTATGCAGTGGAAACAAATCAGTGAGTTGATGATCTTCATCTGTGGCCATTACTCTGTCTTCAAGAAATGATGCTTAGAGTGAAGCCTCCATGGGTTCTGTACACTGTTCCTAAATTATTCAAATTTTACAGTTGCTGGGATTGCAGCTAAAACTTCCCAGTTCCTGGGATTGCAGCTAAAACTTCCCATTATTCTTTTTAATACCTAATTGTTTGTCTAGATTTAAAAAAAAACCAAAATACGCAGAATTCCAGTACCTCAATTGTATTCTAATGTTACCTTAACAGAAGGATCATGAGGGTGCTTGGGCAAGAGTTTTGTCTTGGCAATGTTAGCGGAGGGCAGGGCTGTGGGGACAAGAGGCTGTCCTGCTAAGGCATTTCTGCACCCGAAATGAACAGAACTATCGCTCAGAAAAATGAGGAGTTCATAAAAAATGGAGGAGATCAGTGCACTGTTGAGGCTATACTTAAGGCAACCGAACACCAAATGTTGTTAAAAGCCCGCTTTGAAGCTAGAGGCAAGGATCGACCTGGGTTTGTAGGCTGCGGGCTAGGAACGGTGAATCAGCCAGAGCACGTGTCATTTTAATGAAGAACTGCTCGCAGTGAGGGACGATGTTCGTATTGCCCAGTTCCCTGAAGGGATGATCCTTAAACCTGCATTTGGACAAACTCCCATTTAAGTTTCATATGACCCAAAGTGGCCGTGTTTTATTGGTTATACTGGTAGCCGTGCTATTATGAAGTGCTGGTAGTGGGATCACACTGTAGCTGACACTTAGAACATGCCTAAGGCAGGCAGCTGGGCTGCGGGTCTCACACGGGTCGTCACAAACAGCATTTAGTCTCCGGGTGAATGGGAACAGGCAGCTATTCTATGTTACAGCCCTGCCCCGAACCCTCGTCTTGCCACTTATGTGGCTTCTTGATTGCGGGGGGGGGGGTTTTTTTTTTTTTTTTTTTTTTTTTTTTTTTGAAGCAGTTCTCTGTCTCTGATTGAAATTCAGCAAAGGCTCACCAAGATTACCTAGGATAATCTCTTATAAAATGGTTACGCGCAATTCAGCGTGTGAGAGAATAAATGTAATCTTTTGGAAAGTGCTGGTTTGACAGCTCTGTCATTGATGGCCCCTATTCAGATGAATAGCATGAGCAATACAAATAATTACTTGTTTGCTCTAATGAATTCTGTCTCACACAGCCTGTCAACATCCTTCTTTTGCCTGGAAATAAGTCCAGAGACACAACCTTTGGATTGTGGGAAGGTGAAGGAGGCTGTAGGACACCGCTTCTTTTCTTTCTTCCAGCTGGCATAAAGATTCTGGTCAGTTAATGCAGCGAGCGCGTGCGGAGCTGGCAGCCTTAGTGACAGAAGCTGCGCTCCAAGGAACTGCGGCACGAGTATCGGACAGCATTAACTGCTGCTTCACCAGGAGGGAAATGGTTTTTTGTGGCTTTTTTTTTTTTTTTTTTTTGGTAGTGGTTACTTGGCTTTTATGATCATGCCCCTTCCACATAGCATAACTGGCAATTATTCCACAGATTGATAATATTTTAACAGAAATCACAGTCGATGTTTGAACTACTAATGCAGAAAGGTTTCTTCTAACGCGCTATTTGTGAATATTCTTTCTCACCTTCGTTGCCAGGCTCAGTATCAGTGTTTAGTGATGAAAAAATACTCAGATCTGAATTTCAGAACAAAATTGGGGGCATTTCTCTCATTTTTATTTAGCTTCTAATATGAGATTAGACTTGATTTTGAGCCTAGGTGTAGTAGTGCAGGCTGCACAGGCGTCCCTCACGCATTCTCATCTGCTTGGTGGGTTTTGGCTTAGGTGGCAGAGTTGGTTGAACTGCCTTGGCATTGTTCCTGTCACGCATTCTCATCTGCTTGGTGGGTTTTGGCTTTCTTAGGTGGCAGAGTTGGTTGAACTGCCTCGGCATTGTTCCTGCTTTATTTCCACTAGAACATGAAATTTGGGGACCTATAGAGAATATTAATTTAACGTGCCCGGTTTCTCACCCCAGGATGCGTACAACATGGCGGAGCTGCAGGTGTCTGTTCAAAGCGGCCCAGCCTATTCCCTCCACAAGAAGAAAGAAAACCCAACAAAACTGACCCGGTTCCTTGGTGATGGGTCCCCAGGCGTGCAGGAGCAGCCCCAACCACCAGCGACAGCCTGGTTTACCAGCGGAGGTCTTGGTCAGTACTGGTCAGACGTTGCTGGGGGTGCTGACCACCACCCCCAGGCTGCGCCCCAAGACTCGCTGCGGGTGTTTTGCACGGAAGGAGGCGGCTCGGTTGCCAGCAGTCTGAGCGCCCTGAGCTCCTCTGGATGGGAGGAGGGAGCAGTGTTTGACGACGTTAAAGAGTGGGGACCAAAGTTTGGGAAACTGAGCGAACTGTACTCACAAACGGATGCAGAAGACCTGTAGCTTAACAAGTCTACTCTTTTCAGAGTTTTGGAAAGAATAAAGGGAGAACTTGGGGTACTCAGCCATCCTCATATATACCGTGTTTAAGAAGTAAATAGATTTTTAGTCACTAAGGTAATAAAGGACTCCTTGAGAGATCCTATGCACCTAAGCTAAGGTGGTGCACAAAGCATGAAGAAAGCATGGTGTGTGAGCTGTTTTCAGTAGGAGCTTTAGCAGTCATTTGAAGAAAAAAAGCATGATGTCTTTTTCTTGTGGAAATAAAGTCCATGTTGTGTTATATCCATCTTGTTTCCCTGACTGAGGCTCAGTCGCAGCACCTGCTTCCTGAGCGCAGTGCAGAGGAGTCCATGGATCCAGGTAAAGGAACGAAGCAGCACGGATGGTGATCTTTAACTTTGGTTATAACTTAATGGAATCTCTTCATGCTGTCCTATAAATGCAGGAAGCAAATTTAGGCACAACACATCAAATCAGCTGCTTGCAACTAAGTACTTAATTAAAAGGCCAGGTTTTCAAAGATACTAGCCTCAAAGGTAGCAAACACCACAGTTCAGCGTAATCTTTCATTCCTAATGGGCTACTGAACTGAGCCTAAACTAAGGACCAGCAGGAACCATGTAATTGGCATCCTCAATCCTGTCCCTCATGTTTTGCTAAACCTGCTTTCCTAGCAGTGGTGCAACAATTGTGTTTGAGAGGCTGGAGATGACTGATTCTTTTAGTAGAAGCTCAGACCAACTACAGCTGTGGCCAAGTAATGCCTTGGGAAGAGCTGGCTGGGGATACCAGGTGCATTTTCAGTGAAGAGAAAACCCAGCATCCCTTGGATGTTGTCAGACTCCCTCCCTGGTGTCTTAGGATGCCGGAAGACTGAAGGTCTGAAGGTCTTTCCTATATCCAAAAAAAACCTTTTCCTTCCACTGGGACTTCCAAAACTAAAATCCTGTGATAAACAAAACCCTGCCAGAAGTCTCATAATTCAAAGGCAGTAATTTTCCAGAAACCACACATGACCGCGCACAGCAATCCAGGCCTCCCTCAGATACATTTTAGTAGGAAATCATCATCCACTGGGGACAGAGAAGCACAGGGGAAAACTAACAGCGGCTGCAGGGGCGGAATGTTACGCTCTAAATTATCAGTCCCTTTTTCAGACCATTATTGTCCAGCTAGTATGCCGGATTTTTTTTAAAACTTGACAATATTTGGAAGAGAGAAGGCTCCATAAAATTAATTCTGATTTTTTTTTTTAAATTGAGACCACTTATATAAATGAAGTGCAGCAAGGACACAATCTTATTTTGTGCTGTTTCTTTATAGAATATGTAAGTTATATACATATCGGCTATTAAAACACATGTATCACATAGATTCTAAGGTAATTTGTTTCATTAAAGCAGAAAACTGTGTTGTAAAAGACTTGAAAACTGCGTCACTTACAGTTGCATCAGTAGCATGTTTTGGGAGGTCTGGCTTTTATTTTTTTATATACATGTATTAAAAAACATAAATAGGTCAGTGCAGTCTCACAGGCAGATTAATTTGCACATTTTCCAAACGAGAAATGTTCCCACAGCATCTTGTCCTTGCACTTTGGAAAACCTTAAGCACACAATCAACCAGCAGTTACACGCTGCAAATAACGGGGCAGTTTCATCTGGAAAAGCTAAACGCCCTTTTCACCCACGCCTAACGGTTTTGGTTCACAGCCAGTACGTAGTCCATGGTTTTGTGACTTTACTGATAACCTTTACCTGTGAGGAAACACAGGCTAAAACACCTTGCAATGTTCACGAGTCAGGTGTGTCAGCTTCTGCATTTCATGGTCATAGTGGTCACAAACAGCATATGGTAAATGAAGTAAATATAGATTATGCACAAAAATCTATTCCCTTCCCAAACAGCAGTAAGTTTGTCTGCATACCTTGTGTTCTAACTAGGGACAGGCTGTCATTGTGGCTGGTTCTGATTTCATTTAGCTTGTAAGCTCCTCGGAGCAGGGACTGTATTTGCCTGTGAAGTGTCACGCATATCTAAAGCACCATGTAAATAATAAATAAGCCTTCTGTCTGTGATGTCCCTTCCTTGCCTGTACTTAAGGCTGACTAAAGCTTGGACTCTGTTGAATTATTTCTCTCTCAGCTTCGATCAGAGACTCCCACAGACAGGAGCCACGCGTGCTGTTCTGGCCGGAGAGCCGAGGGAGGCAGCAGTTGCTTCCAGGTGACGCGTGGGCCCAAGCGCTGGTGCCGCACCCGGGAGAGAGGTTACCCTTTCCGAGCGCTGCAGCCGGCTGGGGCCGCAGGCCAGTGCCCTGCTCGGATACCCAAGTGCGTTTTCACATGTAGCACGGGCGTGGGTTTTGCAACAGGCAGGCAATTAGTCGAGGCGGGAGGAAATCCATAACGCTACATTCACCAGAATTACTGACATCGTGTTACCCATAGGCTTACTCCCCATTCTGGGATTTTAGGTGGTGAGAAGCAGCTGACCTGTAGCCTTACTACAGCGGCGGCGCTAACTTGTAAACAAACATAAATACCAACAAGCACAACCTCAGAGCTGCTCGTGCAACTGCAGCTAGACATACGTTCTACAGAACGCGCAGTGTAAAACACAAGGTCAGTAAAACATTTGAAAACGGCTTAAAGGAACTTGTGCGGATACAATCTCATAACAGGCCAGCCTCATTTGCAGCTGTCATGCCCTATTAAAACCTACTTTTCCTCTTTCTGGGGATTACTAATTAGTTCACATAATTTATCTGTTTTAATTTGCATGCTGCTCTTTTAATTATGGTGCAATTGCTGAAATCATATCTTCACTTGTTCCACATTTACACAGGCACAAATATTTCAGTACCTCTATAAAAAAGCTTATCGCAGCATAGCCTGGCATCGCTCAGAACAGGGACAGCTGGCTTGACAGCAGAAAGCTCTGCAATGGCTGAGGGGGGAAGAAAAAAACCCTGAATAAAAAAGATCATTGGGTCCCTAGGTAGTGGGATTTTCAGTAATCATCTGGTACTTTTATTAATCTTCTTCCATGTTCTTTATAGATTTTAAACATGTAGCAAGAACATTTTATTTAGTATAAAATATTTGTGAAGATTGAAATTTAAATAATCATGTGGACATTAGCATTTAATCTGTCTGCCTGTCAACTACATTAATCTTTGTGGTTTGCCCCTTTCAAAAATAACATCCCAAGTATCGGACATGTAGCCAAGCCATGCGGAAGCTGATTGTCCTTGGGTCTGACCGACTGGCTGGTACCAGCAGGTTTAGAAGGAAAGCACGGCTGTAGGAGGAGCAGGATTAGGCAAGTAGAAGCTGAGCATTTTCTTAATTGCAGAAATGATAAAAACCATGGCCATTTCCTGGGGATTTACATAAACAGCTTGCACTGCACTGTTGGTAACTGTTGATCACCGAGAGTTTGCGAAACCTGCTTCTCTGGAACCCAGCATCCCCTCTACACAAGCATACCACGTTATGGTAACACTCCGTTAATTAAATGAATCTTACAGAAGTCCTGCCTGTACCCAATTAACATTGGTCACAAAACTCCCTGTAAGAGCAGTACTACACAAGTGAAGACGTGACTGCACTCGGGCACCACAAGTGAGAAAAAGAGGCGCTGGCCAGCCAGACTTCCAGCTCTGCGCATCCCGCTTCTCCCGGCCGCAGGAACCCCCGGCCTTCTAAAGCTTCCCTGTGTCAGGACATCCGGATTCAAATAGAGCACCTGACACATGTGATTCTTTTCTCCCAGAAAGTGCATGTTTCTTTTAATCAATTAAAACTACAAAGCTTGAGCTACACTGTGGAAACAAGCAGATCCCTACTGGTCAAAGGAAAGTGTATTTACTTAAACAGAGTCACTGCCTCGCTCTACTGACCTTGCTGGAGTTGAAGTGGATTGGGGGCTGGCCGGTAACATTCATGGCTGATGCACCTTTAACTTGCAACAGAGCAAGGAAGGCCAGCAAGCTGCTGAAACACAAAGATGATTCAAAGTCAGTGACAGATGCAATGCAACCAGTTTGGGAAAACTCAAAACTACCTGCTGAAAAACGCTTTGCTTTCCTCCGTACGGACTGAAAACAAAGCTGATCCCGTAACACGCCTTTCTCAATCCATCCCAACATAAAAACAACCAAAAAAGTGAGTTTTTCCAAATTGCACAATTTATTTAGTATACAATAGTCAATACATCTCTTTACAACAACATATTATAAAAGAACTGTGTTAGATCCCACCGGCAGAACACTGAAACAAGAAATGAAAATACACTTATGGATCTCAAAGGCTTTTCTCCCCTAAAAACATTCCAGCTACTGGATAACGTTCTGTCTCTGTGATCCAAAGTCGTTCACACCACAATTCCACTGATAGCGTGCAGCTTCCCAGGCCTTGCGGACAACAGGCAAGGTACCCGAGAAGTCCCGGTGGTGCCACTGCCACTGCTAGTTACGTGTAAGACTTGGGTAAATGCATTGCCACGAGGCTGGCTCCTGGGGGTGGCTCCTACTTAACACAATGAAACAGGGGTGCCACACAGCAACCGCTTGGCAACAAGGTGCATCCGGATGATGTCGGTCAGGAACAGGTAAAGTTATTTTTTAAAAAAAAATTGCACATTTTTAATGCAGTGAATACAGATCACAGCAAGACATGGGAAGCAGAGAAAATAATGACCAGACAGCTAAACCCCCACCTACCTCCGAGCAGCCTCAGACTCTCACGCCCAACCTCCAGGAACAGGAACCGAAGCCCTTTTTGCCACCAGTCCCACAGCCCCATGGCTGGGCCAGCCCTGACTGCTGCCTGCTGCTCCAGCCTTCCCCAGCATGCCTTGCTCCGCTGGGAAGCCTTTAAATCGGGGGCAGAGAAGCAGCTGCTCCCTCTCTCCGAGTGCTGTGTTGGTGTGTGTATTGCTTTCCTCTGAGCTGGTAAGTGGTTTTGTTCCTTGGCGTTTTCTACTCTAGTCCTTTAAGGAGGTCTTCTGAATGCAGTACTGCCCAGCCACCGAAATACGCCCTTGCGTTCAGTATTGCATCTTTCTGATACAGGAACTGGTGGAATTGTTTAAGTGTGTCGCGAGCTACCTAGGCTTGTAAAGACTGTGAACTGCAAGAGTTAGGCAATCTCCAAAGTACTTTGTATCTCTAATTTTAAATTTCTGGTGTGCTACCTTGGGGGATGTTTGTGTTGCAAGAAGAAACCATGTTATGTTACTGTGGTGGTTCTGGATCGTGGCAGCCCTTGGTCTTTATGCTTCCCAAAGACCTATGGTAGCTTGGGGTCTGTTTTGTTTAAAAAACAAAACAAAACAACAATTTGCACTCAGTAGTTTCTATGAAAAGGTTGAATTTCTCCTTTGGCAACATGAAAGACTGTGTTTCTGAAAAAAGTCCATTTAAAAATAACTACTGCTACGGTCAGGACTTCTTAGTCTCAGCTGTTACCTACGAGTAAATCCTGACAATGGCGGGGCACCACTGGATCTTGGAATCTCTCATTTCAATCCCAGGAAAGTTACTGCACCTTTGAAGAAAGATACAACCACATTTTAAAGTAAGACACCACAGCCTAGACACATTTTACCTTACGTGTGCTTGTTTTCAATTACTGTAAGGCACTCATTGAGGAACTCACTGACCCATGCTTTCAGCAAGAACAGGCATGCATCATTACGGGCCTAATTAAAGTTTTAATACTGATTAAAATGTTTTATTATTGTATTATGTTAAACTGCAGTGGTCTCCAACCTCATTAAGGGATACAGGCTAGGAATTACTCAGGAGTTTCAGTTGCTCAGTTTAACAACCTAGCTACTGTCAATGTTTGATTTAAATGCAGTCTGATTAAAGCACACTTCCCTTTTGTGTTAGCATGAAAGTGCAGAAAGATGTTGAACATTGTTTAATGAGTATTTACTGAATATAAAATTGTTTGAGCATGTGACATCTCCAGCTCTTCAGTAATTTACCTTAGTACAACTGAAAAGGGAAAACATTTAAATCATTTGGAATTGGAACACAGCTCAGCTGTGAAAGCTAATCTCATTACACATCTTGATTAAATTAAATGTGGAGTTTGCTATCAGTAGCACTTTAAGTTTCCCATCATTAGAAATTAATTGCAGTGGTAATTATTATAACCGAGTTACTTGCACAGGCCACAAACACTCTTATAGGTGTCCAAATGTTAATTCAACATTGGCCTAGAGGCACTTGATTATTACAATTCTGTTTTTCATAAGAAACAAATGATCCTAGTGGATGTCTAATTAAAGTTGGAGAGTACTGTTTGACTTTCAATCAGACTTAATCTCAAATTTCAATATAAAACCAGAGCAGCGCTAAAACACAGCAAAAGTCACGTGTTATCTACGTAGCATTTAGAAAGTCAATACAATTCACAAAGTTCTAGCCAGTAAAAAGACAAAGGGTACAAACAAACCACAAAATTCTCAGGACAGAGGCCTGTCTTCACTTAATCTTCCAAGTAAGTTTAAAATAACTGTAATCTATTTGTTAGGATAATGAGCAAGGACACAATGATTTTATGCTAAAATATATAGCTTTGTGTCTGAAATCATGTAAAGCAAATATTTTAGAGATTAATTTTTCGTTTGTAAGGTTGGCAGTGTTCACTTTTGGTATCCTACTCCTGGAATTCACATGGGGAGAAAAAGGATCCCCTGTAGTTCAGAAAGCAAATACAGAAAATAAGGTTGTGAGAATCCAGGCTGAGAAATTTGGTTTTTTGTTTGTTCCGAGAATTTTACGAGGATACAAACATGCAACATGTATCAAGCATGCTCCAACCTTTATTCTCATTAGAAATATGTATCACTCCATCATCAAATGCTTAATGTTATAAAACAGTATGTTTCTGTATCACTAAAAATGCTGGACAATGATTAAAGTTTTACTCTTCAAACTTGTTTGCTGATTCTGCACTCACTGATTCTGCAATCACATTCACAAGCTTGGAAACTCATATTCGCATACATTCCCAAAGAATTCAAAAAAGAGGCACTGAAAGAGCACAGAGGATAAGATCGTAAGACAAAACCTTATTTTTGTGACTATTGTAAGGATTCACAAAGATAATGCATACTCGGTACAGGAGGAGCGTGGCCTGCTTTCGTTGAATTTCTGTCATTTCATAGTAAAAACCCAAACTGCTGAGCAGAAGTTCATAGCCTTGCTATTCCGCAGTGGTCATGCAGGCTGCTCATTTTGTGTGTCTTTCAACTGGAAAGCAATCATATCCTAGATATTCAGAAGGTCAGACTTTATAATCAAAATGGTCCCTGCTAGCATTTTTTTATGAATCTATGAAAATTTTGGCAATGTCAAGAATGTTATCAAAACTAAACTGTCTAAAAAAATAAGAGTCACAGGAATTAAACAAGAAACCATCAATGTAAAATGTCTTACAAATGGAACATGTTTGTAAACTTCTGCATTTTCTAATGTGGGTCCTAGCATCAAAATACTGAACTGGAAGCCGTGGTTGGAAAAGTTATTTATGCTTAGCAAGTTTGTAAACGTGGAATGTTTTGTTCTGAAACACTCTAGTGAAGTGTATGGTGTAAGAAGGCAGGTTCTTCTTGATTTCCTCACAGAAGCGAGGATACAACGAAGGTTTCAAATCAGGTTCATTCTCTCCCAAACCATCCATGATCTGTAATGAAATAGAACGGATTTGTGAAATATCTTTAGCCAATTTACAGTTACAGGCAATAACAAGAAACTAAAAACAAGCTCGACAATACATTCAGAGGGTCAGGCTGGCCAGATTTGTTAACAGTGACTGTACGCAAGAAGCGGGAGGTTAGAACAGCAAGATTTATAGTATCACTGTCTCTGTTATGGATAAAGTTGATTTGCCAGAGGTACTAATCTGCTTTGGGTCATGCAGTCTGCTGTAGTTCCATGTTAGCCCCAGAAATGCTTGAGAACTCCCCTGAGACAACGGAGTAATATAAGCGCCCGCTGGCCCTGGGGGAATTGAAGCTACGAAGTGATTTGCACTCTGAAAGTGAACACTGTTTGTGTACGCCTAACCTGAGGCTCATCAGAAAGGGATTACTTATTTTGCCCAGGCTGAGTTCCCCTTTTCTATTATCAAATACCATTAAAAGCAAGTAGTGTTCAATCTGGCGATTTTGAGAACATCTAAAGGCTCCATTAGATTTTACTTCCCGCACTCATGAAGTGGAAATAACCCAAGCTACTTCAAATTGTAATTGTATTTCAAAAATAAGTTAAGCAAAACGTATTCTCTTTATAAATCTTGTATAAAATTACTTACGTGGCCATTAGCTACATCAAGTAAGTCACGTAACCGACAGCCTCTACTGTGCCTTCTTTCGTAACAAATGCTGTCTTCTAGGATCACATAGTCTGTGCCAAAGGATCGCAGTATTCTGTAAACATCTTCAGGAGATCTCTTGGCATAGATCTGATAAATCTATAAAAGAAGAAAACTAAGCTGTAAGACATTACATTACTGCTATTTCTTTGTTTACTCTTTCACAATTCCTTTATCGATCTCAATTCTTTCTCTGGTTCAAGATAATCCATGTGATTTGAATTAAGTATTTTCAAAAAAATACATACAAATCCTTTATTCAGTAGTTACTTAAGAGTTTCTATGTTATGGCTACTATGATGCATAATAGTACTGCTGCTGACTACAAAAACACTGGATGGTGCTGCTGCCTGCAGAAAGGCCTTGGTGGATGCCTGTAAAACTTCCAGAATGCCAGGAAAGGATAGTTTAAAACAACCTCCCTGGCTTTGTGTGGGGTTTCTCAAGGTGGTTTCTACCTAAAGTGTTATGGGCTAGTCTGGGAACTGAAGGGAGTATCAGGCAAATTAGGAAATGCTCCACGTGGGTTTAACAAGCCCAACTGGGCAGCAGGATCTATTAATGCCAACAGTACCCAAACCAGTTCACTCAGAACTAGCCTGAGTTGCCTATGTACAGTTACTCAGACATATACCAGCTGCCAGGAGTGAGTGAGTGAGCAGATGCCCAAAGTACTACGAATTTCACAGAAGTTAAGTTCTGGAACTGCATCTGAAAACAAGCTAGTTCAGTGAGTAAAGCACATGATGTCACTTACAGCGTGCCACGAGAGACTGTGTGTGTTTCTGGAGTGGAGCCACTGATATGGATGAGAATTAGCTTAAACAATCAGAATACTCTTACCTGTTTTGTTCTCTCTCTCAGATTCTTATCCTCATAATGGGGATGATTAGTTAAGGTCCGTCCAGTGCACAGTTTGACTCCAGCTAATAGCTGCATGCTCCCAGCAAACACTGCTGTGTTTGGAGTGTTTGACCTAAATAAATGTTGAGAAGTCTGAGGAAGGCTCTGTAGGGGTGTTTTCGCATTGCTTGTTATAGATCAGAAGGAAAAAAAAGACCGAAAAAATATTTTTCTGCCTCCCCTCTATTCAGGGAGCAAACTGTTCAAGCAACTGTGTTTTCTTCAAATATGAGGCAGATAAATTACAATAATCCTCTCTAACTGCAGATAAAAAATTTACTCTGCACTATGAGGAAATCTAGGGAAAACATGATCCTGAAAATTTCAACCTACTTGCATATTTCATATTTCTTGGGTTCATATAGCCTCTGAATTTTTGTAAATTCCTACATCCTAATTCTTTTAGTATTTCAAGAAACTTACTGTGGCTTAGATTTGTGTCTGGGTATTCGATGTAAAATGGATTGTTTAATCTGAATGCTAAAACTTCTTGTTACTGTCCTGGCATTTACCATTCACTTGGAATGAAAACTTTGCTATGCAAGACTTTAATCCTCCTGTTATGACAACTGTGGGAGAGACATTGTGAAAAGAAGTCACCCCAGCTGCAAAAAGCAGGGGGATGCAGAAGATGCCTGATAGAGATGCTGTTGATTACTGGTACTGTGATCTCATCTGAAATTCAAAGCCAATGACTACAACTGTCCTCTGAATCACAGTCTTGGTATCTCAGGATTGTTCAAATACCCATAATGAAAAAATGATTTTTTGCTCACCTGCCCCCCAACAAGTTTACAATCTAAAAAATATGTAAAGACACAACAGAAGGGCATAGCAAAAAGATGAAGTAAAAATGCCAGGCCACAGAAACTACTATAATTAGGCTAATTAAAAATGGTCCTAGTATGCTTAAGTATTTCCTAACGCTTAGTAGGCATATAACCAGGAAAAGGTCTATGAAGACTAAAACAACAGAAAGAAGCATACATTAGAACAAGTAAAATGAAATTAGAAAGGAATGTGAGTAGTTGCCTAACGTCCACAGACATGCGCATATGGCACCTACAGTAGTCAAGTAACAGTGACATTTCGGGGTGCACTTTAGGGAGCCTTTTGAAACTGCAGCTGTGAATTTTGTCTTTAAGCTCTGCTATCGGCTTGAAAATGTTAGGAGGCAAGTATTACATTTTACTATCGCTTTTCAAGAGATTATGCTTAGCAAATGAATTAATAATTACAAACTCTTCCTATAAATTCTTGCACTGCTACATTAATCTCATCTAGGAAGGACAGAGATAGTATTTTTAACAGGCCAGTTTAACTTTACCACCAGACTACTTTTTCAGCAGTTTATAAAACCAGTTTCATTTTGAAGTCTGAAAATATTTAATCTCTTCTAAAAATTTTTTTACTTAAAATATTCAAAGCCACAAGTGTCATGAAGTAAATGCTTCATTAAAAGAAATGAATTCATCTTGGAATTTAATATTATGCAAATGCAATGGCCCTGACAGGCTGTCAGCTAGGACTCATCCCTGAATCTGCAGGGAAGCACAACTCTTCAGACTAAGCTGAAAAGAACATGGACTAGATTTACAGAGGGACTTGGTAGAGCTTAGACACCTTAATGAAAATGATGATTCTCAAAGCACCTTCATCACGTTTCTGTGTTTATGCCTGGGCTGGGAAACTTTAGTGTGAAAAGTCTGTTTCTGCGTTTGTTCAAGACTAGTTCAAATTTTATAACGCTCTGCAGTACTTATCTCCTGACTTGGCCTTACCAAGGCAATCCTGCACCTCTGATTCCTAAGAGCCCAATATAATGCAAACTTGCCAAATCAAACTTTCTTTAAAAAAATAATAAAAAAAAACCCAAACCAAACCCGCAACAAGCACCAAAGGCAAAATCACAAGAAAAAAAAACAACAAAAAATTCCTAAGAAACAGCCTGCAGCCTCTTTTCTTACAGAATAAAACTAGACGAAATGGTGGTAGTGCCCTTTTTCCATAACCTACTGGTAAAGGTACTTGCCAAAAATGTAGAAGATGCAGGGCTCAATTCCTCCATTCACTCTTGCCCAGAAGGGGTGAAATATAGCTGAGTGCATTCCTCATTAGGTATTAAGAGTTTTGCCAGCACTTCCTCCCTTTCTTACACTTTAAAAGCAACCCAGTGACCTTCGCTTGCTTTTCAAAAAACTGGCCTATGTGCCTTGGTCCTGGATGGAGTTCAAAATCAGGTATTCCAGGCGAAGCAGATGTTTCCCTGAGACTCAGATTTACATGCTTGAAGTCCTAGAAAATTATACGCCTTAAGACATATGACTGTCTGTATTTTACTGGGTTCCCAGACCAACATGCTACTACCAGAGCTACTGGAGGCACTCTTTGCCCATGCTTACTGGCAACGCCAAGAACACAAACCTGGCACTGGATTTCACTGCTGTGGACAAACACTTGGAAGCTGGGAGGGGACGCTGAGCTTCACGCAATGTCTGCCCTCCTTAACTACATCTTGAAGAACTTTAGCCAGTGGCCGTTACTGAGCGTTTATCTTCTGAAACAGCCACTAGAGGGAGACAGGACAAGTAACTGCTATTGTTCAGGTACAGGACGATTTCTACATTTCATGGAGCATCCTTCTCTAATACTCCTACCCGAGTCAGACGCTAACTGCTGTGGTCTGTATCCAAGGCAGCTAATGTGCTTCAAACCACTGAATGACACTTCTCTATTATAGAAAAACGAAGCCATTTTTACAAATGTCTGAACAAATGATGTATAAAATGAAAGGATAATTTGTTTTTATAGCTTTCTGCCAAGCTCCATACCACGCTGCCCAACCTGCAAACAATTTATTCTGTACGAAATGTCACTAAATAATGACAAGGACTTACAGGTCAACCTGATTTACATTATATAATTTAAATGTCATTCCAAGCAGACCTGATGGCATTTTGAACAAATAATCTCATTTATTTTCGAAGCTCTAAGCTTTCAACAAGTTAATTACAGCTGAACTAATGGGTAAACTAAGCCCTCTAATATATTGCATAAAGCTTTTCTTTACCTACATTTAAGAATTTAGAGAATTATGTAAACACTAAAGAACATATCATTAAAAATAAAAGGGTTTTACAGGAAATACAGGTCTATGCCTAACTTGCACAGACTCTAAAAGTGGTAGTAATTCTTTCTCTTATTAAGCTGCTAAAGAATTATTGTGAGTTGATTTTAAGGAAGCCCTACAGAAATGGCCAGCATTGCAATTATAGGTTACATCATTAGAAATAAAATGGCTATTTCTATTAAAAGTCCTCCAGAGTTGAACTCTAGTTGGCTTTCAGAGCCATAAAATATGATAAATCTGAGATTATTCCTTTACTAGCGCCTGGGTGCGAAATGAATCTACAAAGCAAAGGGATTTAAGAAAAGGAGATTTTGAAAAGGGGTTCTCAAATATGCCACGTTCATTTTTTTTCTTTAAAGGAAAGTCTTTTTATTTGCAGAATGCTGTATTAAAATATTACAGGTTTAGCTGCAAATGACAGGCAGTAAAGCATATTCAGTCAAACTGTCATGGTTCTTTTTTTTCCCTCTGGTTTGGAAAGACTGAAAATTGCAAAAATGGAAAATGACAGCCACAAAGAAAGTGCAACAAGATGCATTTTTGTTAGTCCCAGCCTCAATTTTATGCATGCATATCTTGTTCACGTAAAGGAGTGCACCTACACAGTTGGTATAAACCTAGTTCTCGGGCACTATCAAGTTCATGCCTGAATTTTACTGACAAATCAGTCAATAACAAAGGATAAACCCAAGAATTAAGAACAATTAAAAAAAAAAGAAGTGTAATATTGCCTTTAAAGTCTGGAATATGTGTTGATTTCAGTGTGATTACCCTTAAAAATCAAGCGCGTAAGTAAGAGTGGAGAGTTAAAATTTATAGCTGGCTTAAAATTAAAATATAGCCATTAATATAAATTACTAAATGAAAGAACCATCATTGAAACATAGGTATTCCATTTTTGTAACCTTAGGAGCTCTTTGGAAATTTGTGGGGTTTCCGCTAATACAAAAAATTTGCCTACTTGTCCCCCACACCTGAACTATGCTCTGCCGAATCTCAGTCTCAGTTGACTTTTCCACTGTTTTGGCTGTTGTCTGAGATTTCTAAGAAGCTTTTCTATAATTTTTGGTAACTGCTTATGAAATATTCCACAATTCTAGACAGGTTTCCCCTTTAAAGGCAGAAGACATTGCTTCTTAAACACTTACCAGAAGTAAACAGAGTAGGGAAGTTCACGCTATTGATTTGCTCATGCTACTGATATTCTTCCCCATCTCACAAATGAGCATGTTGTTCCTGTTGTCTTAGGGAGAAAGACCAAAACTAAGAATTTTAATATACCTCCCATCTGGGAACACAGCTGTGAACTATCCCTGGGTCATTGGCAGGACCTTCTCGACTTTTTTTTTTTTTTTTTTAATAAAAAAAAAGCTAAGGAAATGAGGTGGTGGGTTGGAAAAAGCAAGAGACTGGGATATGCAAAACCATTATGTAAAAAATTGCACTCTGCAATAGATGCAGTCCAATACTATGCAGTAACTTTATCGTAAAGATATAAACCAGTATATCTTCCTGAAAATGCTATGGTAATTTTAGTAAGAGGAAGAGGAAAAAATACATCTGCAGACACTTCACAGTGGACAGACTAATAGTTGGCTATTATTCAGACTGTATATTTGGACAAGTTAATCTGCATTTAGATCTAAGCAGATAGAAGGGTTTTCTTGTTGTGGAAAGATTGCAAGACAGATGAGTTATTCCTAATTCACTGCTATACATGACAAATTAGAGCTTCTTATACTGAGTTTTAATAATGAATGATTAGTTCCTGACACCAACCTTGACAGATCATTAACTACAGCAGAACTATAAAGTGTTAGTGTAGTAAAATATTTTTCTTGCGCATCAAAACTTAAAAAAATCTGTCCCACTTCGAGAAACTTACCATAAATTTTGTTGAGTTGTATTTAAAGCACAGATAATTAACTCTTCTTTACATGAATAATATTTCTAAACACAATAAATTCTAAGTAGAAAATTTCCCTCTGTAATTGTCTGTCATGACTTAAAATGAAAAGAGGACAAGCACCAGTTTAGCATTCTCAGCACTAAGAACGTATGAAAAATTATTCTCATCGGATGCAGTCAAATCCAGTTCATGTCTGGGAATAGCTCCACATGCATATTTTATGTATAAATCTATATATAACTCCATATATTGTACACAGGAGACCTGAACTATCAGACATTTACCATCTTTTAATAAAACAGTAGTGCTAAATGGAACTGGCTGGTAAACATTAGTCACAAATACGTGTCAATATGGCTGCGAAGATTCTAAATGATGGAAAAAACCATGGCCTGCTTTCAAAATAAGTCAGTGAAGGCTTGTAATATATTTTACTTCTAAATTACTCCTTCTAGTTTATGGATTAAAGAAATACAACATTATGGAGTATAAATATGTTGCTATGGGTAGAATAGGCTGGACGACTGGCTTCACTGAAGTTCAGTGCACATGAAAACACAATACAGGGCTCCAAGGAAAAACTTAAAATAGTTCAATGCTAAATGTAGTAAATTCAGATTTACTTTCAGAATGTTTTCCTCCAGAAGATGAAACTGATATTTTAAAAAAAAAAAAAAAAAAAAAAAAAAAAAAAAAAAAAAAAAAAAAAAATCTTTCTCAAAGTTCCAAATACAAGTCCCAGGAATATCTCTGTTCAGAACTTAACCTGAAAGTTTTCAGTGGTTACTGTATGTTAATAGAGAACACAGTCCTCCTCCAGAGAACATCCTACCTGGCCCTTTTTCTCAGGATCTTCTACATGCAGTATTCCAAACTCTTTCCACCTAAAAAATACCTTCCTACGCTCTGTGAGAAAGCAGAAGTGATAAGATGGGATTCAAATGATTAACTCATACTCCTGAAAGAGACTTTGTACCTATGCTCAGCCGTGGCAAGTTCAAGTTCAATTACAAGTATTTTGTTTACAGTTTAGAACACATAGTGGGATTAATTCTAATAAGTATAAACAACTTAGATGATTTTAAAGTTCAAGAAACAGACTGCAGAGTAGAGATTTTCCAGCCCTACAACTGTACATCCAAGCTTTTTAAAATTATACAGTTGAAAAGAGAAGAACACCAGGTTGGGGGGAAAAAATAAAAATAAAATTATTTCACTGCAAAGATCTATTAATGTGAAGAGGTAGCTATAATACGATGGAAGAAATTTGACACCTCCAAACTGACCTCTTTGCGCTAGGAAAACTATGTGTGTGTTTATGAGAGTAAATGGACTCAACCAGTTCCCTGATGTACATGCAATAGAGCAGAGCAGTCTGGGGGACCTTGCATATAGCTCTTCTCCACAGCCATTAATATGCTAACCTCTTGATAGCCCGTTCATCCTTAACTATCTCCATGGGTCACCAGAGTTCACTGATGAGCTGTGACAAATAAGGAGAACACTGTAACTAAGAACATTAGCTCTACACAAATAGCATTTAACTTAAATAGAGAAAAAATCCTCTTACTTAATCCAGTTCATCAGCTCCACAGTGTCTGGGTCATAGAATTCTCTCAGCTCTGACAGCTCATCCATTATTCCCGGCCAGAACTATAATGAGAAGAAAATAAAACAAACTGAAGACAGAATGTACAAAACAAGTTTTGGATACTGAAACATATTATTTCCTCTTAGCTGGTAACTGATCTAGTCCAGCTCATGGATAAGTTTTAAGACATAAGCGTATCTATCCTTCTAATGAAGGATAGGCGGCTGTCATTGCAGTGTGAATACACAGTTTCAGAGTTTGAGATCTGCAGTTCCTGCCAGATGACCAGAAGGAACAGAATTACTTGTTGTGGTGAGCCTGAGAAGAACAGGTTTTCTCAGACGCACATATCACTGGAGGTTTCCAGAACTCTATTAGTTGAGATCAATTTGTATCTTAAAATAGATGGGAAACTAAAAGTTGCCACTAAATGTGACTTGTGCATTCTATCTACTTTACAGGTGAACCATTTTGGTTCCCTGGACCGAATGAATGTTAATGTTTTTTCTTGACAGACCAAGCATTAAGAAAAGGAACAAGATAAAGAGGCATCATGTACTAGTTCAATATGTGACAGCCAAGCGATTAAATAATGCCCACGGTTACAGGAGAAGGAAAGGCCTCAGGAATTAACATTAAGTTTGGAAAGGCAACTTACAACTGAAAAAAAAAAAAAGGTAGGAAATCTGTATCAGACGTTGAAATCATTAGATGTGCTGTGGATGCCATTACTAGCATTTCAGAAGTTTGAATTGGGAGAACCACTGAAGGAAAGAAAAAGTGTCACTGAACAGCAACATCCAATAGACTATTGGGGGAAAACCATTTCAGAATTTACTGAAGACAAAGAATACATAAATCAAATCTGGAGAAGAGAAATAAGGATTGAAATAGATTCTGAAAAGCTTGACTCTCCCCCCCAAAAAGCTAACAGAACAACGATTTATTTAAGGGTTTCTTGTTATTTAAGCTAGTGAATATTCAAGGCCAAAAGGGAGTAATTAAGAAAGATAATGACAATTCTAATGACTAACTGATTACTCTGCATCATTCTTTACTACAGAGGGTGTTGTGGTGAAACCTATTCCAAATCTGCTTTCTTTAGATAGTAAGGACTGCTGGCTTGCAAAGCAAAATGTCACAGGAAAAACTACAAGAAAACCTGCCTGACAATCTAAAAAGCCATAAATCATCCAATTTAGATAATATTCATCCCAGAGTTCAGAAGGAATTAGAATGTGATGCTGCTGCTGAGCTACTTAGCAAAAATACGCCTTCTTTCACTAAAACTGTAATTATGTAGGAGGACTGGGGAGCAGGAGATATCATTGGGCCAATAAAGATACTAGTTTAACTGTTTACTTGATACATTTGTTAAAGTAATACTGACTAGTAGATTGAGAAACATCTAAAAGATAATTCTGGATCTATCACAACCTTAGAGTTTTGAGAAGTACAGTAGTATTGTAATAGAAATATTTCTGCGCTTCAGATCTTGAGAGATTAGTACATAAATTAAGCAGTTGTGAAATGAGACTGTACATCTCATAATGAATCAAAATTTCCTCTCTTCATTGCTGAACTACCTGGATAGCTAAACATTTTGAGAGCTTGGAGTTCTTCAGGATGGAGACAGAAGGAAATGGGCTCTGCTTTGCTTCTAGATCATGCTGTGAATCTGCCCTGCAATCTACTGAGAATCTAGTGACACTGTGCTATCTACTGAATGCTGGGACTATTACATGGCATTAAATAATCTATATCGTTTTTTCAAGTCACAATGTCATACTACTGCAACTTTTGAGTAAGTACAAGCAGTTTTCACTGGAGGAAAATTTCCATAGTGGGGTTTGCTATTACTGAATTTAAAAAGAGAATTGAGGTAGCAAAATTTTCAGGTAACACTACATTAGTTGAGCCAAGAGGAAACTGAGGAACTTCAGGAGTTCCAAATACAATAGAATAACAATGACAAAGTAAATAAAAAGTAAAGCATATAAAAAATATGGACCAATAACAGAGATATAACATCTTGTAAATCAAGTACATGTCAGATTGAGAAAAAGCATTCTGTGATACAAGGAATGGATAAAAAGAATAGATGGAGTATATCAGATTATTTAGATAAGTAAAGGGGGATGTAACAAACTGTTCAGAATAATGAGTGGTATGTAAAAGAGGTTTCCAGATTGTAACATGCTGGTTTCTGGAGCCAAAGTCTTCAGGAAGAGAAGCCTGTTATCAAGTGGCTTAAATTAGCAACACAGGGATTTCATTCTGGACTGGAAAAATCTTAAGGATTTGTAATTTCCAAAAGGCTTAAAAAACACTTGGATAGGAAAAGGTAATATGACGTGTTATGCTGACTGTCATCAAAACCAAAAAGAAAGCCAAGAAAATAGAAAGGTGGCATACTCTAAACTCATAATGGGGAATATTTTCCTTAAGGTATGTAATTACTCATTGAAAAATATCACTAAAACCTTCAATCTACAAAAATAAATTAAACCATAAACTCTGAACTTGATTACATGACTATAAAAAGGAATTGAATTATTAGGAGATTCAGGTACTAAAGTTGTTTGTTCCCCCTCCCTAGCTCCTTGGTGGATGCAAGACAATTTTTAACTTTCAGGAGTAAAATTAAATCTTTTGTGAGTGAAAACATTTATACTGGAGAAAGATTTCAGCTTTCTCTTTCATATTTGTTATGCCTCTGTCTCATGATCATGGATTTCACACAATATACCAATGCTTAAGCTTCTTATTGAGTATCTGATGTGCTTTGGGTTTTCAGTGTCCTTCAATTTATTAATAGTTACTATCTCCAAATACATATATTGAGGATATACACGTGACAATTTTTAACTCAGCGGCTGTAATAACCCAGAGATTTTTAAAAGCTTGCATCTTTTTCGTTCTAGCTAGAAAGTCCAGAGTTAGACAATTGTGCTAGTCACAAACTTGGAGGTGCTGAACAGTCCACTGACGATTATGGGAGTTCAGTACTTCTCAAATACAAGGACATTTATTTTGAATTCGAAGTGTTAAGCATCAATTCCTTTGGCCTCTGAGTGTAAATGAAAAGCAAGTACTACTACATTATAGTTCTGTTGGCCTAAGAATGAAAATTAAGAATCTCCTTAGAGCAACAGGATTTGATGCTACAAATATAAATAGACATGACATTTTCTTTTGTCATTTCTTCTACAGACTGTCAAGCTTACATACTTTAGTTTTGAAGGATAAATACATAGAGTATATGCAGGGAGCTCTTCAGTATAGTGAAAGACTGCTCAGATAATTCGTATATGTTGTGCTATGTGCTGCAATAAATGTGTATGTTTGGAGCAAAAGGACTTGGCCATGATTAAGATAAAAATGCAGTTTGAGAGGCTGAGAAATTGTACAAATAGATAGTTTACTAGCAAAGAAAAAAATCAAGAAAATTTGGGAAAACCAGTAACTACAGATTGCTGAAGCTCAGGAACTAATTTTAAGTACCAACAGTTTCTTTAGGAATGACTAACATACAAACACACATTGATGGGTATTATTCTGTTGAGAAGTTAAATGCAATGGACAGAGACATGGCTGAAATCTACATATAAACAGTATGAAGTGAAACATAAATAATATTTAGTAGTGCATTATATATGTGTTATCTGCAGCACAGCTAAAGTATGCATGGAAATACTTCGCACTTCCACTTTATGTAAAAGAAGTTTGTGCTATACTCATGAGGAAAACTTGTGTAAATAGAAATATAGGTCTCAAAACATATTGTACTTGAAATCTGAAAGATAGCTAGCATTGTAGCTGCATCTGTATCTCAAATTATTGCTCAAGTGATCTATTTGAGACTGTAGTAAGCACATGCCTCAAAAGAGGCTTTCATTAGCTTATTCAGGATTAGGTTAATAATCCCATAAAACTCCTATTTTGAGGAATGGCACTAACGAATAGTTCTTCTGACAAACATAACCGTACCAGGTAGCGGAATACAAAGTTGCCCTACTACTAGTTCAAGAAAACTAGCCATAATGACCAATTAACTTTGTGGTGAATATGCAAGCAGCTCATGCAATCTGAGCAGTCACAGTGCATGAACAGATAAATTCTTACCTGGAAAGGAGAAAGATAAGTCTCTTATCAAAATCTACTTGCACTGCCAGTTTGCTTCTAAAGGTTTTAGATAGAGACTATATAAACATGTTCTCACAGAAGCAATGGATACTTTCTGGATATCTCTCTGTAAGAATTTTTATTCTGACCATTACCAGGGAACCTGGTAACAAGTTTTACCTGCCAGGCAGGCTTCTTTCCTGAAGGCTCACTAACTCTTACAGCTTTGCTGAAAAGATGCACACACAAAGATATCCCACTCCTCTGGTATCTGAACTGCAAGAAATGACTTAAGACAAAAAAAATACTCGAAGATGATGTATTTCTTTATTCCCACTAAGCACTTTGAAAAATGGTATTTTTAATGTCAATAAAAATTATTTCCTATATTTAGAAGAAACACAAAAATTATGCCTTTCAGGCAGACTGAGCACAACTAATGACTGATCTAAAGCCTATGAAAATCGGCGACTTCCGTTGACTTCAGAGTTGAATCTGACAGGATTTAGGTACTTCACATCTGCTTACGAAGAGTGGGAGGAAAATTATTCCTAGTTGATGTGTCACATTAGACTATTTATTAGAATGTCATGCTCTTGGCATCACCCATACCAAAAGGAATGGCATTATTTCTATCCTTTTCAAAGATGATGAAAATGGTAAATGACTTTCCTAACCATCATTACCAATGGAAAAAAAAATCCTAAAAAGTCCTCTAGCAGTATAATAAGAAATATAAGTGGAATACATCAGTGCAATTTTACTAAACAAACTGTTACAGTCTTTTTGGACTTTTCATTTCACTGTTTTAAAGGTGGGAACAGACTTCCAGAGTGAACTCTATCAGCAGCTTTCTTAACTGTTATGCCTTTTTAACTTTAATAATGAAATTCACCTTCAGTTTCTCCGAAGGTAATTATTTAACAGAAATATTCTCATCTCACACTAGGTACTGCAGAAATTACTTCTCCAGCAAAGTAGCATCTGAATTTTTTGTCTATGTAAATACATATTTATGCCCATTAAATTAACGTTCTAAAACTCCCTGCCATGACAGACAGACTAATAATCTTGCACATGTTATTATTTTAAATGTCTTATGTATTTACATTTAAATGTTGGCCAAAATAATAATTTCTTTCTGGGACAGACTGAAGATAACATAAGTAGTCAACTAGTTTAACAATTCTGTACTTTAAAACATATGAGATGAGGCACAGCAGTATAAAACGTTGTGATTATTTCTGCTCCTACAATGAATCATTACAAAATTTAACAATCTGCATCTTATCTGCAACTTAGTTAAAACCAAACCAGACAACTTACATTTCCATAAAACTATGCATTTAAATAACACCTGGTAACTTACACATACAATCAGACAAACATTTGTATCTATGAACAACTACTTCAGATCAAATGAGCCCAACTGATCTTTTACGTACAATTTCATACGCATAAAGGTACTTGCACTTCAGGTAGTGTATCCCAATTTTTAAAATTCAGCTACAAACGTATGTAATTATTCATAAAACAATATCCCTTTACGAGAAAAGGAAAAATCCATGCAACTAAAAATGCCAAGAAATTAAGAAAAAAATTTCTTACCTTATGTGAAATGTATAGTAATGCAATTATTGGTATAAAATACTTTATCATGCGTGTCTAAGAGAAATCACAAAAAAAAAATACTGGTTATTCTGATGATACATGTATTTGGATAGACTTAATTTTTAATTTGTTGATATCTGACTGCGTTTATCATGTGGTAGAATTTAGAGTTTGAATTTTAAGACCATATTCTGATTTTGTTTTCAAGTAAACCCCTTATTACAGACCCATCACAAATGATGGATTTAAGCTATATACTTAAATCTATCTTCTACAAAGTGGAAAACACTGTATCATTCAGTATAGTAGACTGTAAAGGTCTTCTCAGATCGCTGATAATTTCCTAATATGGTGACTAAGACTTTTTTAGTTAAATTGTGGTTATTTTTCATAGCAACATCTATATTGCCATCTAGTGTGTTCAAATGGAATTGTTTAATATATAAACCACTAGAAAATACATTTTACTTACTAAATTTATACAAACGTGCTTCAGAGATATCCAGTTTAAGAGGACTACAAACAATATTCATTTCAGATGTCCTATAATTCTCAGTCTTGGTTTGGTTTAGATATGGAGCAAAACCAAATTTCATTAAACGCTGTAAGTATAGTGCTAACCCTCTGTGATGTGTAGAGATGAATACACTTCAGGATAAGTTTCCATACTTCTGTACTGCACAGGCCAAAAGATGCAAATACACACATGTGGGATGTCCAGAGGTATTTCATTCTGGAAGAATACAGACAAGTTTTTGCTGATCATCTGGAGCTCTGCTAAGCTGTGTTGATGAGAGTAGTTAGAGAAATTACGAACATAGTTTTCTTGGACTTTCAGGATTCTGAAATAACTGAGTACAAGATTGACTTTGCTATGTGTTCTTTAGAACACCTCTGCCCCCAAACTTCCAAGTATTCTTTTTGGCAGCATTTTGGGAAATGCCTCAGTCTACAAGCAGAAACACACCAGGGAAAGAACGGACGTTCATGATCCTATCCATTTGTGGTCAACACATTTTAACTTTACACTCTTATAAAAATAGTATATTTTTATATACTATTGTCCAAAAAAGCCTTCAGTAGAATTAAAAAAAAAATACCTCATTGTGCTTAATGCCAGACATCCAAAAAGAACTGTGTGCATTAAGTTGTAAGCAGCATCAGGCTTCAGTGTTATTGTGCATTCTTCCATTTTTTCCACGCACTGTACTTGATTTGAACCACTAATTAAACAGAAGAAACAAGAAGTGTTATATCAAGTTCTGTAATGTATTTCATATAGTTGTCTGTATTTTAAAAAACAATTAATCCTTCTGATGCTGAAGAGCAATACTGCTGCTGTCGGTCCACAATCTTCTATTGTATCTATCATATAATTAAGCCTGATAGCATCAACTTGATGCAGCATCAGGTACTTATTTTCATGTCTAGTTTTCTGGAAATGCAATGGGTTTAGATGAGCTGTTTTAGAATGAGATAAAATTGTTTACAGAAAGGCACACTTGGTTTACTGCCACAGGGTTCACAGGGCTTTTGATGAGAGTGAAGAACTCAACTGTGTTTTGTGGGGTTGTGCTGGATGCTACTAAAGCCATAGACTGGAAGTAAATTTACAGAAAAGAAGTGCTGAAAGGACTGGTTATTGTTTGATGTGGCTAGTCTTATGGACGTATGCTGAGGGCTGATCAAAAAAAAGAAGCTGCTTAAATGTGTGTGGGTTTTCCCTGTTTTTTCGGGTGGGGAGTAACCGAGATAACTGGGCAGTGTTAAAAATTAGAGTAATGTTTGGGATTACATTTAGGATTACAGAAAATAAGAGCTGCAGTGTCTTTTGATTTTATAATTGATTCATGCAGTAAGTTTTTAAGAGGCTGGTTGAACAGTACCAAAATGCCTTACAGATGACTATGAATTCACAATTATCATAACATAGTTTCAGAACGTCTTAGATCCTCTCCCTCCCTCCTCTCCTCCTTTTATCGTGTTTTCCATAAAATCTATAATGAGTGGCATTAGTTACATGACACTCATTGAATTTTTGCTTAGTCAAGTTTTATATCATCTCTTCTAACTTATGCCCAGGCTGTAAATGTAAAACCGAGAGGTCTACAACAAACCAGTTACATTTGAATTTTCTTTTAGTATTCTGTAAATACCTCCAAATCCTACAGACTAGCTATGGGAACTGGCAGCAGTGCCAATCCTAATTCTTCACAGAGACCACAGCAAGTTCACCACAGACTATCCTTGCTCGTTTCTGGACAATTTGAGGATACCACCAAGGAAATGTTTGATCGGGAGTGCTTTGCACAGGAAAAATAGGATGAACTAAAGAAACTAACATTGATTTTTCTATAAAGACACCCTTCCCCTGCTTCCTCCCCACCTCCCTGCCAAAATAAACCCCAACCAACCCTACATATACTGCAAAACTTTAACAGCAAACAAAACAGCTTGAAGAAATCTAGGGAAGAATGTTTTTGTTCAGTCTCGTTACATCCTTTGTATTTTGAACTTTAATAGGAAGTTAGTTATTTTGCCTGATGGTCTCTATTATATGTCCTACTGTTTCCTTAGTACCTGTGGAAAGTAATACCATATGCTGCTGTATTCAACTGTCAGTTCTTTAGCCTGTTGAAGAAGAGAAAATTGATAAAAATGTGAGTTATTTTAAAAACATATTTTACCTGAGGTTCCGGAAGGCAACAATTACAGCTGCTACTGTCATAAGGAAGAGAACAAATATGTAGACGTAAAAAAGTAATGTATCCGAGAGTCTTGAAAAAGTATTTAATGGTAGTAAACCGAAAGCTTCTTCGCAAAGATATAGGTTAGCATCAAAATCTCTATAAAGGAAAAAGAATAATCCTTGTCATCATGTATTTCATAACTTGATGTCAAAAAGGACCAAAGTTTCCTATTATCCAAGAAATTATGCCACAGTTGTGCAGATTATTATGAAGGAAAAAAATGACATTAACATGAGGTAAAAATCCATGATTTATCACCAAGATTTTAAATGAGAACAACCTGCAGGCTTCACTTAATGAAGTCATACAAAAAAGCAAAATTGCAGCTAACCATACCTTGTTGCCCCAAATCCAAATTTTGCTTTCAGGAATTTGAATATATGTTCATCTGACTCAAGATTAAGAATTTTCTACAAAGGTGGAAAAAGAAAGGAAATTATACTTTAAGTACCAGAAAATTGTTTCACACAGTAAACAGTTTTTTCATCATTTAAATGAAACTGTGAAGCAACATAGGCTTACTGAGATAGGGTGCTTCGCAATCAAATAAGCATTCAGTTTGTAATTACGGTCCTGTGCTTCAAAGGGCAAGTTACTTACTTTTTAGAATATTTATTAGGGTTAGTTTCTTATTTACAGACAAAGATTACCCAGGACAAGTTGGTTTTAGCTGTATTTTTTATTTCAATGACTTATTGTATCTTTTTGTGATACTTTTAATTTCCACGTGCACTAAATTTTTATCTGTTGATATAGATCTCACAAAGAGACTAAAACTATATGCAGACAGCTCTGTGCACAAGAAGCAATTAAAAGTATGGCATGGTCTACAACATTTTTATAACAAGTATTCACTTTTAACTTGCACGGATTGAAAAGTAAATTCCATTAAAAACTTTGCAAATGCTCAGCGGTATCAGAAGACAGTATAAATCTACACTTGTTATACAATTGCAGGGGAGCTTCAAATTACAAATGTGTATTAGATTATTTGTTGTTAATTTATGAAGTTTTAAGAATATATTTTAAACTCTATATGCTAAAAAGATTAGCAAAATGATCTTTCATTTCTAAAACACATTCTCTGAAATGTAGCTAAATCTCACTGCAATTTTTATTTAATGACATTTCTGTATGGTTAACAAATAGCTTTTAACATAATACATTTTGTAAGTTCCTATATTAAAAACTATTTGCTTACCTTGATAAATTTATTCATTAGCAGAGTCAAGCACAAGACTAATAGTACATGGAGGATAAGTTTCCCAAGCCTATTAAGCAAACCGCCCTTTTTTAGGTTTTTCTAGAAAGAGGAATTCATATTAGTATTTCAGTACTTTTTTGTATGTATTTGGAACAAAATATTAGTATATCAGTATATTTGTATGCATTAGGAACAAAAGCAACACAGACTGTTTGAAATAGCTTATCTGCTAGGCCTGATCAGGATCAAATTTGTATTAGGTTCATGTAAGCAAAAATGTACATAACCAAGTATCTAGAATAAAGATATATTTCTTCCACAAAACTGAAGGGACAGTATCGTAAAAACTCCCTAGTGTATTGATTTGGCAGAGTTTTGTAACTAGCCAAACAGCTTACCTTCAGAGGTGGCCCCGTTGTATTTACACAACTGCTGGCACCCAGTACAACTTTGGTTGTGTTCCAAGATTCCCTGAATTTCAATAGTATTGTGTGCCTTTTGAAATATCTATTCATTACACCTTCCACCTAAAAATGGCAAAGGTATCTTGTGGCTCTAACTGTCAATTGATAGGATTTTGAGCAATTTTCCAGTTCAAAGCTCCAGATCTGAGAATGGTTCTTTGGCTGCTCACAGGCAACTTGGAATAGGTGAAGACATTGTCTAACTATAAAA